GTCATTATCTATCCTCCATATCCTCATAATCTTAACTTCCAACTTCAGTAACCCTCTATCTTAAGTGGCTCTTTGGCATTGTAATGGGTGAAATTTAGTTTGAAAAAAATGAATATGCAATAATCAATTGAATCATTGAAAAATCCATAAAAATGATACAAACTTGGGTTAAATATATGAATAGCATCAATTGTGTCATATATATGTTAATGGAATGCTGGCATATCATGCAGTTTTTTTTCTAAATACCATGCCTCTTCACAACATGGGGGTCATGACTCTCCACACCTTCTCTGAAAATAATTATTACCAATCTGCTTTTAAAACTTTCATTTAACAATATGAAAGTGCAATAAATATTTCTCTTCATGAAAATCCAAATATCTAAGTACATAATGGAATTGTTAAAAAACTCTTAACTCTATAATCTTTTCCAAGTATGCCTGTCCGCCATAATTGAAAGATAATCCCGATTGCAAACACCTGATCAGACACATTTTCCAACCTGTGATTTATACTACAACTATACGGAGTGGATTTTAGTTATAGTTTTTGAGAGAGGGTGGATAATCAGGTGTGATTAGTAGTTGAAAATGGAAAATATGTTTAAACCCTCAGTCACAATGACTGGTGACTTCAGGCTATAAAAATCATCAATGTCTTCCAAATTGCTTTATCTGCTTAATTCACTTGACTTGGGTCAATCCATGATATCATTTTCAAGCATTTCTCAACTGTGCTGCATGCTAGGATTCTCTGCCAGGTTATTATCACGTCACTTGATAAATCAAACACGGTAAGATCTGAACACAGGTCTCGTGGTTGCAATGCTGACATTCTAACCACTCAGCCATGCAACCATTAAAGACACATCTAAAGTAATCAATAACTTAAGAATGTTGATTGATTTTTGTTAATATTTTGATGTTTATTTACATCATCCTCAATCAAATATGAATTCCTTGCCAACATATATGGAAGAATTACATGTAAGGAAGTGCTGAAAAGTTTTTAGCCAGAACATGCTGAGATTAAAAAAATGTTTAGACATTTGGCCAAATTTTGGGAAGTGGGTTGAGCCAATAATTTTTTTTAATACCCTTTGCACATTGTTTATATCTATACCATAAAATTATCTCATAGTTAATTTTGTAAATATTTTGATATTTAATTAGGGTAACAATAACACAACTTTCATGGCTTCTGATCTTAATGCAAGGATTGATCAGCTCCTGGCACAGATATGGCTGAAATACTGTATTTTAGGTCTGATCTGACTCTTGTAAAGAGAGATTACTAATTCTTTGAAGGAGTAATGTTGTAATCTTGTCATCAACATAAGTCTTCATTATTATTTTATTAGTAATTCTGCTTCAGCTTTTTGCTATTTATGAAAAAAAAGCAAACTGAGTTTATATTCTATGACCCCCACCAAGAACTGTGTAAAATTGAAAATGAACGAGCAGCTTCTGACAAGATTCAAATTACAAACCATGAGAGCCTGTCTTTGATGGACATTGTCTTAACCACTTTGACTACATAAATAACAGTCATTCTTCCACAGAAAATAATTACTATTATCTACATTTTGTCAAAGAATTCAGTGATAAGAATGTGCAAGTTGTTTAATGGATATCAGCACGGAAAGTGTAATTAGCGTGAAGAGTTCAAAATCCTGGCTAGTCTGTTGCATTCACTTTTACACAAATGCTGATAAGAAAGACATGAATTCATCTTTTCTCCCACCAACTATGGATTAAATACTAGATTAGGTTCTCTAGCCTTGGATAATGGCCAATCCAGAAGAAGGACGGCTCTGAATTCAAAAATGTGGAGAAGGCAATGGGAGATAATTCTACGGTCTTTTTCAAAAGGTCATGCAACTGACAGACAATAAAGAAAAGGAATTTGCAGAGAGACATGATCTATATCTTGATGGAACATGGCATTTAGAAAAAAAAATCTGTGACAGGACAGATTACATGGAGAAGTGGATTCATACCTTTTCTAAGGGCATCAGTGTAAAATTAGTATAAATAACATCAAACAGAATTTGAATTCAGTTCACCAATTGTACTGATAAGAGTTACACCATTACCTATGTTGAACTAGTGTTGTATTAGTAAATAAAAGTTCTCACTTGGCCATTGGTTAGCATGTGTCCAGATCAAAGAATAATGTCTCAACACCTGTTAATACAAAACCTTTATGCTCCAAGGCTAAGACACCAAAGTTTGATCTATTTGTCACAACAGAGTCACACATTTATAAACAAAGTAAGTATTTGCTAGTTATGAGAGACTATGGAGCCGATTAGTCACAATCATGATACCAAGTTCCGTAACCCATTTGGGTGGTAGGGAGCACCACATGTACTGCAGCTGTAGCAGTGGTGTGATCAGCAGTCTGATGATGGCCAGTATGTTCAAGCCTTGGTTACAATGACTTGTGATTTTATGCGAGTACAACCACTGATGGCTTCTGAAAAAGTTTCATCTAACCAATTTCACCCAAAGTGTTCAGTCAGCCCCAAGTATGGTTTCAAATACTTCCTAGCAATGCTCCATGCTAGGATCATCTCCCAGGTTAATTCGGTGTCTTATCAAGTGATCACTTGATAAGACACTGAGGGTGTTGAAACAAAATGGCTATTTTTGTAGTGATTTTATAACATATTTATGTTTATAAATTTTTTTTCTTTTAAAAAAAAAAAAAAAAAAAATAATAATAATTATATCTGCTCTACTTTGTATTGAGCACTCTTTTAAGAATAGTAATTGTTGTTTATTGGAATTCATTCCGTATACACCAATTATATATTATATATATATATATATATATATATATATATATATATATATATATATATATATATATAGTTTGTCTGATGATCTCAAAAGTGTGAAACCCAGGGTTACAAACTCATATCCATACAATATATATATAGTTTACCTGACGATTGCATATAAGCATGAAACAGACTGTCATCACTGAGTGTTGACTTCAGTGTCCACTTTTATATTTACAGACACTCTCTCCCAGATATTGAGCACATTAACCCATGAATATATCATACCTTAAAGCTATATATATATATATATATATATAAGATTAATACAAGTATAAAATTTGTCACTTAGCTGATTGATGTTATATTCAACACATCCAGCATTTTCTAGATAAACCTTTGTTATCTGTTTTTTTCTGAGATGAGGTATTATGCAAACTATTTACATTATTCGGACTATTGTCCTCATCTTTGTCGCCATATTTATTACAACATTTCGACCTTTCAGTATCTGTCTATATTTCTGAGATGAGGTATTATGTACACTATTGACATTATTCAGACTATTGTTCTCATCTTTGTCGCCATATTTATTACAACATTTCGACCTTTCAGTATCTGTCTATATTTCTGAGATGAGGTATTATGTACACTATTGACATTATTCAGACTATTGTTCTCATCTTTGTCGCCATATTTATTACAACATTTCGACCTTTCAGTATCTGTCTATATTTTGAGATTTATTATGCAAACTATTTACATTATTCGGTCCTCATCTTTGTCACCATATTTATTACAATGTTTTCGGCCTTTCAGTATCTGTCTATATTTCTGAGATGAGGTATTATGTACATTATTTACATTATTTGGACTATTGTCCTCATCTTTGTCGCCATATTTATTACAACGTTTCGCCTTTCAGTATCTGTCTATATTTCTGAGATGAGGTATTATGTACACTATTTACATTATTCAGTCTATTGTCCTCATCTTTGTTGCCATATTTATTACAACGTTTTGGCCTTTCAGTATCTGTCTATATTTTTGAGATGAGGTATTATGTACACTATTTACATTATTCGGACTATTGTCCTCATCTTTGTCGCCATATTTATTACAACGTTTCAACCGTTTTACGCTCCGGCCTTCTTCACGGTTGCTGAGACATTAGGTTTATAGTACCCAGAAATTCATACACAGATGGCACAGTGGATAAAGTGTTGGTTAGATCCAGTGACAAGACCCAAAGAGTGTGAGTTCAATACCCGGTTATGGCAGTAGAGAACTTGGAGTGGGGAATTAACAGGAGATAACTGATATCTGACAGCCATTAAACATGCCATGTGGAACTAGATCAGTCTGCCCCAGTGAGTGAAATAAAGTGTTTGGTTTGACATTCCAACCACCTGAAGAAGGCAGGAGCATACAACGGCTGAAATGTTGTAATAAATATGGCAATAGTCTGAATAATGTAAATAATACACCTTTGTGTAATTGATTGGCCAACTTTTCAGAAAATATCAGGAATTGTCTACTAATATTTATATGCACATTTTATTGATGTTAGGTTGATTTTTTCTTCTTTGTGATGTTAGGTTGATTTTTTCTTCTTTGTGTGTGTGTGTGTGTGTATATATGCTTGCACATGTGTAGAGTGTCATGGCAATTGTTTTTTTTGACAGGCCTGATTTTGTAAAATCTGTTTCTTGGTCAGTAAATATATGTGAAATCTATTGACGCATAATATCCATTGAAATAAAAACACATTTTTGATACATTTGAATTTATATTAAAATAAGTGATCTTTATTCGTCAACCATGAATTGTTTTGTAATTCAGACAAATGGGATATTAAATTGCATCCCTAATAGGTGCAGATACTGACAGGTAAAAAGGATTCATTTCTAATAATTGTTGGAATAACAAAATATTAAGCTGTCAGAATTTCCATCAAATTTACATTGTCATTTTTTAACTATATTTTTGGGTGTATAAGATGTGCCTTTGAATAGGATGTGGTGGTATTTGGAGAAGAAAAAGAGATGACAGCTTTGATTCTAAGACCTTGTTGGAAGTGATAGAGTCATACCCCGTGTTTATAAGTTACAATAAGAGATTTGTTCATTTCTGTTTTTCTTGTAAATTTTAAGAAAACAAAGAAAAAATACAAACAAAAAAATAAAATGAAATGTGAATGAATAAAGGAAAATCAAATGAAAAAAAGGAAAAAAGAGAAACCAAAAAAACAGAAAAGCAAAAGGAAAGAAAAAGGAAAAAGTGAAAGAAAAAATGTAAAGTAATAAATAAAAAATAAGAAAAAGCAAGAAAAATAAAGAAAAAGTATGAGAAAAAAAGGAAAAAACAGAGAAAAACAAATGAATAAAAGAAAAGAAAAAAGAAAGAAAAGAAAGAAAAAGAAAAAAAGAAAAAAGAAAGAAAAAAGAAAGAAAGAAAAAAGAAAAGAGAAAGAAAAGAAAAAAGAAAAGAAAAAGAAAAAAGAAAAGAAAAAAGAAAAAGGAAAAGAAAAAAGAAAAAGGAAAAGAAAAAAGAAAAAGGAAAAGAAAAAAGAAAAAGGAAAAGAAAAAAGAAAAAGGAAAAGAAAAAAGAAAAAGGAAAAGAAAAAAGAAAAAGGAAAAGAAAAAAGAAAAAGAAAAGAAAAAAGAAAGGAAAAGAAAAAAGAAAGGAAAAGAAAAAAGAAAGGAAAAGAAAAAAAAGGAAAAGAAAAAAAAAAAGAAAAAGAAAGGAAAAAAAAAAAAGGAAAAAGAAAAGAAAGGAAAAAAAAAAAAGAAAAAAAAAAAGAAAGAAAAAGAAAAAAAGAAAGAAGAAAGAAAAAAGAAAAGAAAGAAAGAAGAAAAAAGAAAAGAAGAAAGAAAGAAAAAGAAAGGAAAGAAGAAAGAAAGGAAAGAAAAAAGAAAGAAAGGAAAAAGAAAGAAAGAAAAGAAAAAAGAAAGGAAAAAAGAAAGAAAAGAAAAAAGAAAGAAAAGAAAAAAGAAAGAAAAGAAAAAAGAAAGAAAAGAAAAAAGAAAGTAAAAGAGATTAAAAGATAAGGAAAAAAAGCAAAGGCTGAAATGAAAAGCAAAAAACAAAACAAAAACCATTAAAATTTTAAACCATTTAAAAATGATATTATTCTAAAATTAGATTAATGTTATAAAGTAAAATAAATATGGTAACTGATGAAATTATTTAAATCTCAAATCCAAGAAGATAGAATAAAAGATGGATTCAAAATTCAAAAATTATGAAACAAATGAAAATAATGAATGTCTGTTTAGGAGAAAGTTATTTGTTTAGAGACAAAAATGAAAATTAAACAACAGAGAAGCTGAATATAGAAAAGAGAAAGATATTAGAAAATACCTACCCATGAAACAGTTTTGATTTTTCTTTATATAAGTGAAGTTTTCCCTCTAAACAATGATTGCCAAGTATTCATCTGTTCAATCTTCTTTGTCTGTCAGATGCTTTGTTTTATTTGGGAATATCCCCCGTACCCCACTGCTGAATGGCTGCCTTTTTCTATATTTCACCATTTCTCTAATTCCCATCCCCACTGTTATTTGACTTTCTTATTTTCCTCAACCCTCATCTTCACATCATCAAATAATTAACCTTGCTTTGTGATTTTTTTCATTTCTTTCTTCTTTCCTTTTTAGAATAATCTGATGTTCTTTTTTTCTTTCTCATTCTTTTGTTCATTTTTCATAACTTTCTTCTGTTGTTTTGTCTATCTATTCTTTCTTTTTATTGTTCATTACTCTATACTATTTTGTTTTAATACTTAAAAGAAAGAAAAAATAGAAGAAAGAAGTAAAAAAAAATAGAAGACAAAAGGAAGAAAAAAGAGAAAAAACAGAAACAAATGAAAGGAAAAAAGGAAAAAAGTGAAAGGAAAAAAGTGAAAGAAAAAAAGAAGTAAAAGGGGATAATGGAAGAAAAAAGGAAGAAGAAAAAGGGGAAAAATGGAAGAAAAAGAAAAAAGGGAAAAATTGGAGAAAAAAGAAAGAAAAAAAAGAAAAATGGAAAAAAAAAAGAAGAAAAAGGGGATAATGGAAGAAAAAATGGAAAAAAGATTAAAAAAAATGGAAGAGAAAGAAAAAAATGAAAGCAAAAAAAAAACTAGAAGTAAAAAATGGAAGTTAAAAATGTATTTCCTACAAACTCAATTTTTTATTTTAATTCTAATTCAGCTGCTGTCAAGAATGTGGCTCAAGTGATCCTTTTGTCTGGACATTTTTTCATCTAAAGTTTAGAGTCTAAACTGACAAGACAATACGCGAGTTAGATTTCGAATAATTTCACATCAAAAATGGATATCAAATATAAAGAGATTTTATTCATTTATTTTATAATGGAAAAGTGAAAATTTGCGCAACCCATAATCTGCCTACAACCAATATCAGCAAAATGCTGTTACCCCTATTGTCAAAAAATTGTACATCAATTGGAGTAAACACTTTAACAGATATATTTTCATCAGATTTCTCCTCTGACCAGTCTCTGGCAGCTCAATGGAGGAAGGACTGTTCTTTAATATTCAATTCCTCCAAAACAAATCTTGTAACATTCCTCCACATTCTAGGAGCAGAGTTTCATTGTCCATCTCACTACTCTACTCTGACCTTCACAGCTAAGACACGATATGTCATCTACACAAGAATGGATCATCCCCTTTCCTTTCATGCTCTATTCATAAGAAGGAAATTCCATTTGGACAGCTTCTTCTCAAGAATTGCTTCTTCATGTAACAAACTCCTGAGAGGATGCTTCCTTGATCACTACAATTTAACCTTCTGATCATTAGGGTTAACTGTTATCTTTCCGACATATATTCTTAAACTATACTTCTTACCACTTTCTTTTATGAGCAACAACCTCAATCATTAACTCTCTACCTTGAGTGGCTCATAGGCCTTGTACTGGGCGAAAAATTAGTAACAAATAAAAAGAAAAGTAAACAAATATTAGAATGTATAACAAAGATTTTTTTTTATATAAATTGTACCAGTTTATGTAATGCAAGCTGTCAAAAATTGCAGTAAATTTTGGTTTTTAAATGTGAACTTTAAAATATATATCTATTATTTTATTGATATCTAGTCACTCTGGTGGGGTCGCTTTATTACTTGGCAACAATTGAAAACCGATCCCCCACCTTACGCCCAGTGGAATCTGAGAGTCAGAGAAGATGTATATAAGAATCTACTGGATATAAAGTGAGGGATCTATTAGATATTGATATTAAGTAGTAAACTGATCACCTGCTAGAATTATTACATATTATTAGAGCAATAAAAACAGAAATGTTAAAGCAAGGAAAAATTTGTAGCAAAACCGGTATAAAGAAAAAAATTACCATAAAATAAAATGCTAATATCAAAATATAACATCACAAAAGTGACGGTCAAACCAGTTTCTAAGACCAAGGACGTAGATTTGGACAATGACAAAAAAATGAACGTGTTTATGATGCTTATGTCTATGTTAACTGGCTTGTAAGTAGACATAAAATATGTTAATTGCTTAATTGAAGTGTTTGCACCACACTAATGACATTGGGAAAGACATGAACTCACTTCTCCCTGCACTCTGTCTCATCACCATTTAACTTGACAATCTATCTTGTTAGTGACCTGATGGTTAGCAGAAAGTAATGTGAACAACAATCTCCCCTATGGACTGCAGTCAATCATGGTACAGAGAAGTTAATAAGAAACACTGTTGAAAACAACATGTTGACTGTGAATTAAGATATTTTTAACAGATATTAATGCAATATTTATGATCAAAAACAGAGTGTATATTACTGATAAGTTTTGTGACAATTCACACTTGCATATAAATATTTTAATACCAAATATCTAATCAGTGGCAAAATAAATATAAGGAGATGCTGAAAAATACTCGGACTGAACCCTTTTCCAGAATCTGAATAATAAGATTTCTTTTTTTAAGTATTCCTTGAATGAGCTGAGAACTTTTCAGCATCCTTTGTAAAGTGTGCTGTGAAGCCTAATGACAAAAAAAAGCAATGGAGGATGTTGTGGGGTGTTGTGGTGGTAATTTCTTTCCTCTTCTCTTTTCTCCAAGAAGCAAGGTGTGTAAATGGAGATGATTGGACAGAGGACAATCTGCACAGTAAGATAGATTGTGAGTCTGAGAGACAAGTTTTGTCACAATGATATCCAAGCTCCCCACCCCTGCCATCCAGACTCCCTGGGGACAGAAGCAAGAGTCCAGTGAAAGCAGCAACAACAAAAGTGATAGGAATAGAGAATCTCCTACTCATCTCATTCCTCCTTGTCCCTACCCCAGACATTAAGGACCTCACGACAAAGAGAGGCAGAAAAAGAAGACATCTGTAAACTGTCCATTGTTGTATCACATAATTGACATAATTTGAGGACAAAGCATACACAGATTTTACAAGTATGCATATTGTAGTACATATCTGCTGCTTCATGGTATATAGTTCTTAGTAACACTAGTAGTTGGTTTTCACAGACTAGAAAAAGGATTTTGAATGTGGCCACATTCACCATAGGCCAACACAATCTTTCTCCCTGCATACCCATTGCTTTTGTACTTCTTCATGTGTTGTGTCAGGATGTAGGCGATCATGGCTCTCCACCTCTTCTTGTCTTTTGTAGCTCTTAATAAATTTTATCTTTTTGCTATTTCTCCCAAACCCTGTTCTGCCATCCATTTACTCAAGCTCACTAAGTGTGTTATGCCTTATTTTCCTCTTGCCTTCAATCTGTCCTGTGAGTATCAGATTTTCCAAGCCCTCTTTCCTCATTATGTGCCCTAGAAATTTTAGCTGTCTTTTCCTGATGTTAAGTTTCCTTTCAGTTTCCATTTTCTCAAGAACTTCATCAATGATCGCATATTTGGTCCATGTTATCCTCAGCATCCTTCTGTAGAAACACATTTCTGTTGCTTCAAGTCTCTTCTTCATCTTTGAGAATATTGTCCAGCATTCACTGTCATATATGAGGACAGACATCACATAACAGTTCAGAACTCTTTCCTTTATTTCTAACAAAGTTTTCCTGTTTCTCAGTACTTAGCTTAGCTTTTGGAAGGCATCTTTTGCTATCCCAACATGCCTTTGGATTTCAGTACCAAACTTTCTGTCCTCTATTAAAACACTTTTCAGATATTTAAATTTTTGTACTCGTTTGATTTTTGTATCCCCGGATTGTAATTTGCATTTTGGGCTCATCCTTTTTGCTAACAACCATGTGTTCTGTCTTCTTCCAGTGGATGTTTAATCCTTCATTTCTTTCACTATTCCTTCTGTAGGAGTTATGCAGGCTCTCTACACATGAAATCTTGGTGCAAAATGATCTTCTTAAATAGTGTTGTGATGCTGAACCACATGTTGTAATAGACAAGAACTTTTGAAGAGACTAAATTCAATATTTTTCAAAGAAATACTTTGAAAAGACTTTAAGAGAAACTGGAAACTCAATTCTAAACCAAAAACAAGGGATAAACCTCTACTCCTGTACAAAAGATCTGGGGAGGTATATTCAATTTTCAATTATAACATCTGACTATTTTTCTTTTGATTATTGATTGTTGTCTTAAAACAAACTGTTTACAGTATATGTCTATATTTCTGAGATGAGGTATTATGTACACTATTTACATTATTCAGACTATTGTCCTCATCTTTGTTGCCATATTTATTACAATGTTTCGGTCCTTCAGTATCTGTCTATATTTCTGAGATGAGGTATTATGTACACTATTTACATTATTCGGACCATTGTCCTCATCTTTGTTGCCATATTTATTACAATGTTTCAGCCTTTCAGCATCTGTCTATATTTCTGAGATGAAGTATTATGTACACTATTTACATTATTCGGACTATTGTCCTCATCTTTATTGCCATATTTATTACAAAGTTTTGGCCGTTGTATGCTCTGGCCTTCTTCAAGTGGTTGGAATGTCGAACTGAACCCTTTATTTTCACTCACTGAGGTAGACTGTTCTAGTTCCATGTGCCATATTTAATGGATGTCAGATATCAGTTATCTCCTGTTAATTCCCCTCTCCAAGTTTTCCACTGCTTTAACCAGGTATTGAACTCACACTCTTTGGGTCCTGTCACTGGATCTAACCAACACCTTTATCCACTGTACCATGTATCCTTACAGGTAAGCAAAAAGTGAAATTTTAAGAATTTCACCTGCTGTTTTGATATATTTTAGTAGATAATGTCAGCTGTGAATGTAAATAAGTTGTAATGTGATAATCAAAATGATATTTTATAGAATTTGTTACATTCCAAAAAAAAAAAAAAAAAATTATACACACCACTGTAACTTTTATTTCACAAAAATTAAAACTACATTTTGGTAAAAAAATTGTTTTTGGATGAAAATTAAATGTTTTTGCAAACTAATGTTTTCAAGTATTGATTTAATAAATGATTTAATTTGCTTTGAGTTGATCTCATATCTTTTTTATTTACAAATATAACAACTATTATGGGATAGAAGTATAACTTTTATGACCATTATCCTATAATAGTTGTTACATCTGCATAGACATTTCATACACTAGTTTAAACAATCATTGTTATCGCCTGGTTCATATACCTCCCCAGATCTTTTGTACAGTAGAGGTTTATCCCTTGTTTTTGGTTTAGAATTGGGTTTCCAGTTTCTCCAAAAGTCTTTTCATTCTCTTTCTAACCCAGTAGCCTCTTGCATCTTAGTGGCATTATTATCTTGCTTGGGGTGAATTGATAAAAAAATTATGAGACTGAGGCAGTAATCTTTACTATTTTTGTCCCATAATAGTTGTTACATCTGCATACTTATTTCATACACTGACTGTAACAATTATTATGTGACAGAGGCAGTATTTTTTAAAACTAGAAATGTAATTTTTGTAACTTTTTTATTACATTTCATAAATGGAACAAAGAAACAGCCTTGAATGGGAATTGAATTCATATGTCATTACAAGGTCTGTCATGTAGCAAGAGAAAAAAAACAATTTTTATATAACTGTACACAAATATTTGACTATTTTGTTGTTTACTTTGCAACTTTATGATTTCTCATCAATGCTGTACCGTCTTGAAAATTCATTTTCGCTAAATCTTAAAAGTTGTTCAATGATTATCAGAGATTGGAGATTCTTGGAAAAGTCTGAATCAATAAAATAAATACCCAACCCAGTAAACTGAAAAATGTTTATTTTACTAGTTGCCTATATATGTAAAAATATTTACCATTTTCTGGTAACAAAAGTAATAATTATTTCTCAAGTTGAGTATCATCATCCCAACTTGACATTCAGAATAATAAAACCGAAATAATTCTTAGGTTTTACTAAGTCCACTCTTAATACTGAAACTCAATAATCTATCTTAAAATTTTAAAATATGTGCAAAAGTTATTCAACTTAAAAGAATAGCAAAATCTTGCAAACAGTCAAAAGATGATTTTGTTTGTGTTATTCAGGAAGGACTGTTAATTTGTGAGAAAGACTCCTGCATGGATGCTTACCTAAACTTTACAATCTTAACCTCTTCAAGTTAATGGTCAATCGTTATCTATCCTCATGATCTTCACATCCTACCATTCATTCATATCACACACCTTATTCCTCATAACCATTTTAAGCCTCTACACTACAATCTTAACCTCTTCAAGTCAAGAGTCAATCGTTATCTATGCTCCATATTTACATAATACTCACTTTCTAATTCCTACTCTTACATTTCTATCATGCACATCATTCACTAACCCTCTACCTTGAGTGGCTCTTGAGACTTGGATTGATTGAACATGAGTAAATATATAATGATTACAGGAAAGGGTAGTTTTGATGTACTATTTTCCTAAATACTAACAACTGTATTATTGTCTATGCCAGCAGATAATATTAAAATCATTTGCAATTCATTTGTATAGTAAAATAATTCATAGTGCATTTCTATGGATGCTTTTCCATGGAGTTGAACTGTCTTTACTTTTTCTATATTCCAATTGGAAAGAGAAAATTCCACTCAGCTTTTCCCAAGAATGAACCCTTGTGTGTATGCTTCCTCAAAATGCTACAATGTTAACTAAAAGTCAAGGGTCAAGTTCTGTGATACAGAAAAAAAAAAAAAAAAAAAAAAACACAGAAATAAGTAGAAAATGGAAAATATCGAAAATCAAGGAAAACGAGATTTTTGCTACTACAAAATAAAATATTCCGATGGTAAAACATAAAATTCCTCAGCTGGGACATGACAGAATCATTATTTTGCATAAATTTGCCAAATGTAGCGAAGTGAGTCACTTATGCCCAAGTGCTACAACCTATATTGCTGCAACATCTCATCCTATAAATAACATAAGGTATTTTCTACAGCTGTACAAATGCCATAACCTAATTCATGGCCAAACCGGTCACTACTGGTCACCACAGGGTAAATACCCATGTGCGATATTAACATATGAATAGCATGGCAGATGCTGTCAAGGGTAGTAAAAATAAAATTTGTTGCTTGTTTAGTAATTAGATTTTTAAATGCTGGTTTCATTATCTATCCCAATAAGTAAGCAAAAAGCGAGCAAACTTGATGGGTGCAAACTTTTGGCAAAATACAGAGCTGAAGAGCCAGCTTTCTGTGATGATTTTTATCAGGATGGCAATAAATTATTCTGTAGTTTTTATCAACAGACTGTAGATTGGAATTGGAAGGACATGCTTGTGGGTCACCAGAAATTGCTAAAGTACAAAAAAGAAAAAAAAGATGACTATATGAGTAGGCTATATATTTGTATATGTTACTGTTTACACACAAGTCTTTATTTTTCATGTGTTTATACAATTTTGAAACAAAAATGGAAAATTGAAATTTACCATCATAGAAGAAGATGGAATTCAACATTTTAGAACATGGAAAACTTGCCACTCTAACCTAAAGTCAAGAGTCAATCATTACCTAGACTCCACACACACACTATATATATATATATATATATATATACACACACACACAATAAGTTGTATGGATATGAGTTTGTGACCCTGGGTTTTACACTTTTGCAATCATCAGACAAACTTCTGCTTGTTTGACTGTTTGGTGGTGGGAGGGGGAATATTTTTCTGTGTTTGTTTGGGGTGGTACTATCATACACATAGACACATACAGGTGTACACATTTTAGTTCACACCAACACATCCATATAAGCAATTTGAGGTTAGGCGCAGATATATATCTGCGCGATTGAGCATACATACATACATATGCAGTTGTAATTCTATTTTGGTGTCAAGACCTTAGCTTTTTATGTGTGGCAATGTTCATTTCAACAAGGAGCAGGTAGGTAGATCTGAAAGG